CCCAAAAAAAAAAAAAAAAAAAGGATAAAATGCTGAAACTGGTTGTTGGGGTTGGATGTTAGAAGATAAGTAAAGCAATGGGCATGTATTTGATATAAAAGAGAACGGTAACTGGGATGGGTTTTCCAACAATTATGCTATCTTTAAAAAGAGATACGCAAAAAAACCCTGATGTTTATATCTAACATCTAATTTGATCAAATAAGATATTTCCTCAGAAATTAGAACAAAGCCTAAAATTAATAAAATTGTGACAAGAATGTTACAACAGAGCACTTGAATATGATACAAGAATAAGCCATACATACAGCCAGGCTATTGAGAGTTTTCTTAGGAGGGTGCTTACCATGAATATTGGCCATTCCAGGCATATTTCAAACAAGTTGGATGTTCTTTTTAAGGCCCAGGTAATAACTAAGTTGGGCTTTTTCCCTTTCAACCATATGGCCTGATATGAAATATTTAATTGAACAGATTGTATGTGCATGCACATCTATACACTTAAAACAAGCCCTATGCTTAACCAGAAAAAGCATAGATACAATTATGTTAACAAACTTTTTATAAAATGAACAAGGCCTTAGAAGGGCCAGGTCATGGTTTAAAGGATTCACAGGAAGGCATTTTTATGAATTCCTATCCCAGTATTTTAGCTATCTTATAAACTAACCATAATATCTTTATGCTGTGGTACTCGCATATCTTTGCAATCCTAAAAAGAGATGTTTGTAAGGGTTCAAAAGACCTGTATACAAGCTAATGCTAAGCCAGATTTTTCCCCCTAAAATACCTGAATTTGAAGCTGTGAAAATATAAACCCAAGGACTCGCTGTACAAGTATTATCTCCAGTGGAATCAGGACATTCAACTATTTTTTAGTGGAACATGGGAATCAAAACACATTGACATAATCATGCTAATTTAAACCTGTATTTTTAGGCACATCTGATCACCCCAATAGGAAAAGGAGAGTCTTTATAAAAAGCAGTTCATACTTTCAAGCTATTACCTGGCATTAAGAGAAGGAAATTTCATTCATTCTTATTAATAAATTTTTTATTCTGAGAAGGAAAGAACATGTTATCACAACAGTTTGAAATAGCATGATTAAAGACTGCAGCACTCCCACGAGTGGTCCAAGATATGTACAGTATATGAAGAAAAAGTTGCACCTCAGAACCGATCATGATCAAGTTAAAAATACCTGACTTGAAGTACATGTGCTATTAGATTTCCTTCAGGTCATGACCAGCATGAAAAAAAAAATCAAACATCAGGACACAGGTACTCAGCATAGATTTCTGCTCACAGATACAGCAATATGCTGTGTTTAAGGATTAAAATCAGATTGTGGTTTAGTGTTGGCACCGAGTCCTTAAGGTGAGAAAAACAGAACACCAATTCTCTACTTTTCCCTCATTTACACACATCAAAACTATTCACACTTAAGGATGTGCCCAGTTGCACACAAATTAAATCTTTTCAAAGATTAAAAACTTTAATAGCTAATACTGGAGACAGCTTCTTTGCTTCTCGGTACAAATCCGCCAGCTATCGGTTCCTAAGGAAAAAAGAGCTTGCTAAGGTAGCTCCTTGAGAGAAAACAAATGACAGTCTCTGGAAATCACTCCCTTTCTACACTGAAAATGCTCAGACAATTCAAGTTTCACATATTCAGGAAGACAGAAGATTTAAGGCTCTGGTGGCAAATACAATCCTCTGAGCAAAGTTTTTCTAGAGTCAAGATTGAACACCCAATGGTTTTTTTCCTTGACTCCAAAATTCTTGATATCAGGTTTAGATAACATCCAACTGAAGTTAAGTCTGGCAAGATATTCTCTCCTCCGTGGAAAAGAGGTTTCAGTAATCCATGTTAGGAGCACTTGAGGATTGCCTACAATTTTGTAATGTTTGTTCTCTTTTATTAAAATTATACCAACATTCAGGAACTACTTTTAGTAAGTTGAAGAGGCTGTGCTCATAGCATCATCAGCGATTTTGGTACTGGCCGGGTGGATGCTTGCAAAATACTTGACATCACTGTCATTATCCATCTGGAGGGCCACGATTGTCTGCTCTACAGCCTCTTGATGGGAATTAACACACATCAGAAAGTATTCTGTATGCGGAAAAAACAGAAAGGAAACGGGAGGGGAGTGAGTTAATGGTCATGCCCCAAATTAGGATGCAGGAAACAGCAAGTAATGCTCATCAAAATCAAGGTGTTGCAGAAATGAAATGTAAGCTAAAACCTGCAGGAGCCAGGAGATGGTTGTTTTCCTTTTCCCCCATTCAATGCTCATGTCCTCCTTCACCTCAATCCATATAATAAACAAAGTTGGATATGCTTCTAGAATCAATAGTTTCATTCTGGCTTCCGGGGGAGGAATGGTAGACTGATGACAACCACAGAAGCGGAGACAACAACCACCACAAAAACCAAGGAACTGGTGAGTAGACTAGTTCCTTGGAACCTCTCTGGATAAGGAGAGGATGGAAGATTGTCCAAATGTGCTCCAGATGGCTGCTCCCCTCAAGGAGACCACAGGACAGCGATCTCCCCCTGTGTGAGTGCTGGGAGATGACAGGAATAGCCATCTTGCTCACAAATATGGTTGGCACATTTTGAAGGACACTAAGTTTGCTAACCTCACTTTCTAATCACTTTCAGAAATTGCTTATTAACTTTTAAGCTATTAGAGACCTTCAGAACAAGTTTGAAAATGCCAGGTGAGTTTGCCTTCAATCCTGAATGAAAGAAAATTTTAATCATAAGCTTAAGAATTTAAAGAATTTGAAATAAACATCAAAAAGCTAAATTAG